ACCGCACGGGCGTGGGCCACGCTGCAGGCCTTGCCATCCATGCTGTAGTCCACGCCCAGGTTCCTGGCCTCCTTGGCGTGCGCGAAGGAGCCCTCCTCCATGTAGTGCTCGATGAAGCTGCGGAGCTTGGCGTAGCTGCCGAGGATCTCGCTCTTGCCACGGGAGACCACCGCCCCGAGGTCGCGCTCCAGGCCTCGCAACATGTCGCCCGCGGCGCGGCCCAGCATGACGCCGACCTCGGCCTCCGAACCAGACATGCGGAGCGAGCAGCCGTCGAACATGATGGCCAGCGAGACCTCCTTGTACAAGCAGCGGTGCTCTGCGTCGATGGTCGCCATGCAGCAGCGCAGCAGCTTGCCCGCATGCGCACAGCCCGCCACGAGGGCCGTCGCCAGGTGGAACTCCTCGGTGATGACGCCGTCGATGACGATCCTCCGCGGGCCCTGGTAGATGCTGAGGGCGGTGGCTGTCAGGGCGAGAGGGTAGCAGTGCGCCTCCGCCCGCCGCTGGGCCGCCGCGAGGGAGACCACCTCGTAGGCCTTCCAGAGGTCCAGGAGGACGCCCCCCGCGCAGAGCCCGCGGCCATCGGCCGACTCGTTGTGGAGTGACTGCCGCCACACTGCCCCCTCTGACGCCCGCCCCTGGCCGCCCCTGAAGTTGGTCTTCTGGTCTGGCGGCAGCTGGGCCTCCCATGCTCGGCTGTCTCGCTGGCGGATGCGGGTGAGGAGCCCGATGGGGCGGAAGCCACCCGTCGGCTTGAGCAGCGTGACCAGGTGAACCAGCCTCGCCACCGTGGGGTAGCCGCCGAGGCGCTCGCAGGACATGCAGAGGTCGACGAGGCACTCCACGCAGAGGTCGCTGAGGCCTGCGATGAGCCCCAGATTGAGGCGGTCGGCGCCCAGCCCCGCGCGCCACGCGAAGCTCTTGGCCGCCCGATGGGCTCGCTGCAGCGAGGGCCTGGCCAGCGGCGGTCCCGTCGGCGGCCGGAGGGTTGGCGTGGTCGGGAGGGCGGGGTCCCCGAGGGTCCAGACGTCCTGGGCCCAGAACCTGCCCACGGCGTCGGCCCCAGCCTGGTCCCCCACAGGAGCGCCGTCCACGATCTGGGCAGGCAGCCAGCCCTGCGGACCTCTCCTGCAGGCGTGGACCGCCCCTCCTCCCAGCTTCATGGAGGAGGCGACCCAGCCGGAGAAGCTCTTCGCCTGGGCGGCGCGGAAAGCGTCAGTGAGCGCCGCCGCCTCCGCCTCCAGGGCCTCCGCCCACTCGCTGCGCTGGGCAGGCTCTCTGGGCGGCGCCTCTCGGATCGAGGCCTGCTGGGCGGGGGGCAGCCCGGAGAGGGCCGCGGCAGGGAGCTGCCCCGAGGCCCGTCGCAGCCACAGCGCCGCCGCCACGAGCGGCCTCGCCCTGTCGGAGGCCTTGGGCTGCAGGCGTCCGCCTGGATCGCGCGGCGGGCGCGACCAGCGGCAGCGCGCGGGGAGGCCCCTCCCCACCATCCTCTGCGTCCCGTCGGGGTCCACGCGGAAGTGCTGCAGCAGCTCCTGCTCCACGTGGCCCAGGATGCCGAGGTAGGCCTGGTGGAGTTCGTCCTGGGACCTCGCCACTTCGCAGAGCGCCCGGATGGTGACGTGGACGGGTTCGGCCTCCAGCAGTGGCCCCACGGGCCTCTCCTGGGGGAAGGGCCTGGGAGCTACCGGCCTTCGCTCCCACGGCTCTTCCCCTCCCGACTTCACGGCGAGGCTGGAAAGCAGGGGCGTTGATGATGCGGCAAGTCTCTTGGCATCGCTCGGACGCGTGTATTTTTCCCTCGGCGAGGACCATCGAGGAGCATCCTTGATCACTTGGCGAAACAACCACGCACGAAACCGAAAAAACGCAGGGAATGGGCGTCCGAGCGATGGCGAGGTCTCGATCCCGTGGACGAGGCCGAGGGCAACGAGGAAGGCATCCAGCGCCGAGGGCGGCGCGCCGGCGGCAGAGCGGCAAGTGCCCAGGCCCTCGACGTTGCTGACCACCTGGCCCCGCACCCCCTCCGGCCAGCGTCTGGCCTCGGCGGTGGAGAGCCCTGGGCCAGCGCTGAAGTCGCCTGCGACCACGAGCGACCGTCCAGACACCCTCAGCACGCGCCCGAGCGCCCGCAGGACTTCCCAGGAGGTGGCTCCGAGGTGGTCGTTCTCCAGGCAGACGCCGGCAGCCAGGGTGCCTCCGCGCTTGATGCCCTCGATGTGCAGGCACGTGCAGCGACCCACATGCACGATGCTGGGAGTCGGCTCTGGCGGCAGGCTCGGCAGCGGTGAAGGTGGAGGGTAGCGGGCGCGCCGCGCCTTGGTCAGTCAGACCGCACCACCACTTCAGTCCCGCCTCAGGCTGCGCGGCGCCGCTGCACATCCTGGCTGTCTGGCTTGCTGCTGCCTGGCGTGAGGGCGCCTCGCAATCCCTGGCTCCAGAGCCACATGATGATGCCGATGATGCTGCTGATGATGATGATGCTGCTGATGATGATGGTGCTGATGATGATGATGGTGATGATGCTGATGCTGATGACGATGACGATGATGCTGATACTGATGATGATGATGATGATGATGATGCTGAGGATGATGTTGATGCTGATGATGATGATGTGGATGATGAGGATGATGATGATGAGGATGATGCTGATGATGATGATGCTGATGATGATGCTGATGCTGCTGATGATGATGATGATGATGATGATGATGGTGATGATGATGACGATGATGATGATGATGCTGATGCTGATGATGATGATGATGCTGATGATGATGATGATGAAGATGATGATGATCATGATGATGATGATGATGATGATGATGATGATGATGATGATGATGATGATGATGATGATGATGATGATGATGATGATGATGATGATGATGATGATGATGATGCTGAGATGATGATGATGATGATGATGATGATGATGATGATGATGATGATGATGATGATGATGATGATGATGATGATGATGATGATGATGATGATGATGATGATGATGATGATGATGATGATGATGATGATGATGATGATGATGATGATGATGATGATGATGATGATGATGATGATGATGTGGGTGGTGTGGGGTGGTGGTGGTGGGGGTGGGCAGGAATGAGGAGGAGGAGAAGGAGGAGGAGGAGGATGAGGAGGAGGAGGAGGAGGAGAGGAGGGGAGGAGGAGGAGAAGAGGAGGAGGAGGAGGAGGAGGAGAGGAGGATGAGGAGGAGGGAGGAGGAGGAGGAGGAGGAGGAGGAGGAGGAGGAGGAGGAGGAAGAAGAAGAAGAAGCAGAAGAAGAAGAAGAATAATATTAATAAGAATAAGAAGAATAATAATAATAATAATAATAATAATAATAATAATAAGAAGAAGAATAATAATACTAATAAGAATAACAAGAAGAATAATAATAATAATAAGAAGAATAAGAATAAGAAGAATAAGAAGAATAATAAGCATAATAAGACGAATAAGAATAAGCATAATAAGACGAATACTAAGACGAATAAGAAGAATAATAAGAATAATAAGAAGAAAAAGAAGAATAATAATAATAAGAATAAGCAGCAGAAGAAGAATAAGAAGAATAATAATAAGAAGAATAGTAAGAAGAAAAAGACGAATAAGACGAATAATAATAAGAATAATAAGAAGAATAAGAAGAATAATAATAAGAATAATAATAAGAATAATAAGAAGAGGAGGAGGAGGAGGAGGAGGAGGAGGAGGAGGAGCAGGTGGAGGAGGAGGAGGAGGAGGAGGAGGAGGAGGAGGGAGGAGGAGGAGGTGGTGGAGGACGGCCGTTACAGGTGTCGCCCTTCGTCTTCTCAAGGAGCTATCATGTGGCTCATTTGGCTGTTTCTTTGGGCTATCCTGGGCCCGCCCCTTTTTGAGCAGCCTTGGGCGATTTTTGGCTGTCTTGGGGCCCTCTTGGGCCGTCTTGGGGCCCTCTTTGGCCGTCGTGGGGCTCTCTTGGCCGTCAGGAGGGTCTCTTGTAGCCGTTGTGGGGCCCGCTTGGGCCGTCGAGGGGCTCTTAGAGCGTCTTGGGTGCCTCTGGAGGCACTCTCGGGCCAGCTTGGGGCATCTCTTGGGGCCGTCCTGGGCCGTTTAGGAGTCCTCTTGGGCTGTCGTGATGCCGCCTTGGAGTCCTTTTGGGGCAATCTCGGAGGCCTCAGGTGACGTCTGGAGCTGAAGGCAGCCCGACAAGATGAAGACGCCCAGATCTTTCAAACACTTTACGGGGATCCATGGTTTTGGCCTCTTCGGGTCTGCCGCGAGTAGTCTTCTGGCCCTCTTTGGCCGTCTTGGGGGGCCTCTTTGGGCCGCCTTGAGGCAATCTTGGTCCATCTTGTGCTGCATTGGAGACATTGGGTCATCTTGGCGGCTTTGGCTGCCCGCCTGCCTCGGCCATCTTGGAAGCTCGCGAGCGCGGATACGTCGTTTTTTGCATAAGGACCGTGGCCGCGTCAGCGCAAACCAATGCTTTTGTACATGGGACCGTGCGCGGATTTATTGTTTGGTGCCAGGGATCGTGGCATCGGGAGCGCGGATCCAGGAAGGGGTGGGGGGGGGGGCGATGCATGCAACCGGATGTGATGGGGGGGCGTCTACGCGTCGAAGGAAACAGAAACCTGCCGCACAGCACTTGGTATCCTACCACGCCTCAGCGTGCCAGGGGCCTCGGTGACGGATCTCTTCACAGTGAGCATGTTGCCCAGGCCGTCGACATGTATCTTTACGGCTTTGCAGCGTTGCTGTCCCACTGCGACCAGCTCCTTCTATGATCCTTCGAGGTGCGGTGTCCTCAGCGATTCAGTCCTCCCATCTCCACTGCGCCCCGCTACAGTACTGCAGCCGCAGAGGCGCAGCTTATGAAGAGGTGAGGGGCCAGTCGCCACAGCCAATCGATAGGGCGGCTCTTACAGCTCGCTGCAGAGTTTTTGAAGTCGATGGCGTCGGTGCCTTTCCACTGCCAGTCACTTTTTGTCTACCCCCCTCCTCCTCCTCCTCCTCCTCCTCCTCCTCCTCCTCCTCCTCCTCCTCCTCCTCCTCTTTTAGGGCGGGTTCAGAGAGTGTCGCGAGTGCCGTGCTCGACCCTGGAAAGGGCCCTCGCACGGTAGCGGCGTCTCTGGTGTGCCAGGTCCAGCACATCTGCTGACTAAGTGCACCCGTCATCTCTAACGCAAGTGTACATTTTTGCCTTTCATAAGCTGGTGTATCTTCATGCCTTGCAGGATTGCACCTTGTCGAAATGAATAAGGTCAGCACCACGGGCTCTCAGCTTAGGACAGATTTCGATGAACGTCCGCAGGGATTGAAACACTTCGCTGCATGCTTCTGCAAATCTGGGAGGGCCTCGCCTACTCCTCATCCCAACATCCTGCTCCATGTGACAAGCCCCGCCACCGTATGGCGGCGCGCCCAGTGGGGATCGGGGTCGGCCAAGAGGGGGGTGATAACTAGGGGGGATATCATGGCGGGGGCCATGCTGACCCCAGATCTCATGGCGCCTCTTCTTATCGTCGCCATCGTCGTCGTCGTCGTCGTCGTCGTCTTCGTCGTCGTCGTCGTCGTCGTCGTCGTCGTTTCCTCCCTCCTCCCTCCTCCCTCCTCCCTCCTCCCTCCTCCCTCCTATTCTGGAGGCCAGAAGGGGGTGTGGTGTAAAAGGGGTGTGGTGCCACTGCTGCATCCGGTTTTTTTTTCCATCGTAGATCACACGGCTTCTCCGCGACTGGCACCGCACCCCTTTCTGCGACGCCCCTTCCCGACCTCGGTGAGTTCGTCCGAGGGCTCCCCCGTGGGCCGCGCTGCACGCCCCCGAGATCCTCCCTCTCGGCGGCGAGCCTAGGGGGGGGGGAGCGAGAGGGGGGGCGGCCCTTCTCGGAAGGCTCGGCAGCCCCCCACCGGCCTTCCCAGAAGCTCCCTAAGCCTTCCCCGAAGGCACGGCATTTCTGGAGGAGGAGGAGGAGGAGGAGGAGGAGGAGGAGGACTCAGAAGGCGCGAGGGCTTCCGAGAAGTCCCGCCGCCTTCTGAGAAGGCCTCCTCCTTCTCGCTTCCCCCCTTCGCTCGCCGCCGACCCTCCTCCTCTCTGAAGACGTATGTGTGGCTTTTTTGGTCGCAGGAGGAGACGGTATCGATTTCGATACCCGTCCTGGAGAGCTCTCGTCGCCACTGCTGGCTTCTCCTCGAAGTTCAGTTCGGAACGCATCCAGGGAGAGGTCCAGGGAGTCGCGGCATCGGTGCACTTTTGTCCCTTTCTTTGGGGCTTCTTTTGGGCAGCGTGGAGCCTTTTCGAGCAGCCCTTTGGGGTTTGCTGTGTTCTTTTTGGACGTCCTGGTGCCGTCTTGGGCGCAACGGTTCTATCGATCTCTTTCGAAGCGGCTCGACGGAGCCATCCCCAGGCCGTTTAGTCGGGTCTTGCATCCATCTAGGAGCTCTCTTGGGGTGGTCTTGGGCTGTATTGGGATGTCCCTGGGCCGAGTCTGGGCCATCTTGGGGGCCTGTTGGGGTCTGGAGGCGGCTGGGGGGCTGAGGTGGCCCAGCGTTCCGTTCTGGCCGGCAGACAGGGGGGATAAGGGCCACCCTAGTTGCCACGGTTCGACGAGGCTTAAAAAACGGGTCGGTTTCGACGCCGGGAGGGGTTCGGGGACCGAGGTTGAGCGGACTTGCCTTCGTCCCCTCTCTTGACCGATCTCCTCTGGGCTTATCCAGTTCAGACCCCCCAGCCGCCTCCCAGTTGGGGCCCTCTGGGGCCGTCTTAAGTCTTTCGGAGGCCTTCCGGAACATATCTTATGCTGACATGTTTCGGAAGCCCGAGCAGGAGATCCGCTCACACGAGGTTGTTTTTAATCCTCTGGCGCGTCAGCGGTCGTTACCCAGACCCCCCTCCCAGGGCAACGGTAACTATCGTATGCAGGGGGGGGGAGTCTTGGACTCCCCCCACCACACACTGGTGCTCGCGCGCATACTGTAGCAATCGCAGCGCACCCCCGCCCCGACGTGCCCCACCCTGCCCAGGCGTTACTGCTGACCGGGGCCACAATCCCCTCCGCACCCCTGCAGCCTGCAACAACCGTTACCCAGACATAATAGAACATCAATTTCCAGCGTCTCGCCACGGGACTCTCGCAGGGGCCAGCTGTTGTCCCCGCAGCATCCGTCCTTGGGAGGTCACCTGCTCCCGTCGCGGCTGCCGCCGCGGCCCTGGTGCTGAACGTTCACTCGTGCGCGCGCTAGAGGATGGTGCCTCCACGGCGCAGGACCCAGTGCTTACCAATCTGGAGCATATCCCTATCCCTAAAATTGGCATCACCCGATCTCGATGCCGATCCTGAGGATTCCCTCATTTTCCGAGGGTGCATCCCTGCGATTGACACCGCCTCCAGGCTTGTCAATCTTGGGGCTAAACACGGGATCGAGGCTGGTCGAGTGCCTGACCCTCGCCATCCCTGCGAAATCACATGTTCTGGCCCGCATCCATGTTTGTCTGCGGCGCGCACTCCCCAGCGCTGACTCCCCAAACAGTGCCCGCGCTCAGGGGTTCTTGCTTTCAATCGGGCATGTCCCTCTATAGGAGGAGCGCTCAAGAATGGTTGAAACACAGTCCGCTGACGATGTTTCGTGCTCTCTAGACTATGTTTGAGTACTGTCTGACTATGCTTGCCTGTTTCTTCCAAAATCCGCCTGTACGGCAGGGGCGTGCGGCGTTGACGCGTTGGCGAGCTGGCGACGCCAGCGAAGGCGTTTGAGGTTGAATTCTGCGACGCGGAAGCACCGATGGGCATGGTAATGCCATTGGACCCGACTGGATTCAACCTTGAACAATCGGGGCCGCGATCTATTCAAGACTGAACGATCGACGCGGTGTCAAAAACCTGTGCGCGCGCCGACGCCACACGAATCTACCGTAGGAGGGCATCCCCCCCTGAGCCTGCCCCCCTAACGTTGCCACTGCTACTGGGGGAGGCAGAACCTTGCGGGGGAGGAGGAGGAGGAGGAGGAGGAGGAGGAGGAGGAGGAGGAGGAGGAGGAGGAGGAGGAAGAGGAGGAGAGAGGAGGGAGGAGGAGGAGGAGGAGGAGGAGGAGGAGGAGGAGGAGGAGAGAGGAGGGAGGAGGAGGGAGGAGGAGAGGAGAGAGGAGGAGGAGGAGGAGAGGAGGAGGAGGGAGGAGGAGGAGGAGGAGGAGGAGGGAGGAGGAGGAGAGGAGGAGGAGGAGGAGGGAGGAGGAGGAGGAGGAGGAGGAGGAGGAGGAGGAGGAGGAGGAGGAGGAGGAGGAGGAGGAGGAGAGGAGGGAGGAGGAGAGGAGAGGAGGAGGAGGAGGAGGAGGAGTAGGAGGAGGCGGAGGAGGAGGAGGAGGAGGAGGAGGGAGGAGGAGAGGAGGAGGAGGGTGCGCCAGGCGTTGCTCGCCCCCGCGGCGCCCCGCGGGGGCGCCTCGTGGTCGCCTCGCTCTCTCTCGCTGCGCTGGCTGGGTGTGCCTTTTTCTTTCCGCCCACAGTGGCCGCTCGGGGGCGCCTCGACGAGTGCTAAGTCGGGCCTGTCCCTCTACAGGAGGGACATTCAATCAAAGATAGTCAAACCACAGTCTGGTTTTTGACTATTTTTGGCACTGGTAGGGTATTTGTCTCAATTATTTTTCGCCCACAATCCGCCTGTGGTAGGGGGACACGCCCGACCTAAGACGAGTGCCCCCGTGCGCTGGCCGGGTGTTTTTCCAGGTTTCCGCCCGTTGGCCGCCCTTGGGAGCCTCGTCGGTGCCCCGTGCGCTGACTTCCACGTAGCTTGCAGCCCAGAGTCTGCACGACGTGATCACACGGCACTCCATGGATCCTGTTCTCCGGAGATTGATTCCCCACCTAGGCTCTGCCTAGACGGGTTCTTACTCTCTGAGCTTAAAGGGGCCGGGCAGTGGGGCTCGCCCCGGGCGGTTCCCCCAGGATCCGCCCCGCGGTTCCCCCAGTTACGTCCCCTTAGCTTAGCGTTGCGTATCCTATCTTAGCTTAGCTTATTTTCATCTTAGCTTAGCTTAGCTTCATCTTAGCTCAGGTTTATCTTAGCTTAGCTTACCTTCATCTTAGCTTCGCTGAGCTTTAGCATCGCAGACCACAGCACAGCATAGCATAGCGTAGCATAGCATAGCGCAGCACAGCATATCATAGCATAGCGCAGCAGCATAGCATAGCATAGCATAGCATAGCATAGCATAGCATAGCATAGCATAGCATAGCATAGCATAGCATAGCATAGCGCAGCACAGCACAGCACAGCATAGCACAGCGCAGCATAGCATAGCATAGTATAGCAGAGCAGAGCATAGCATAGCATAGCAGCAAAGCAAATGCAAAGCAACAGCAGCGACAGCAAAGCAAAGCACAAGCATCGCAAAGCAAAGCAACAACAAAAGCAAAGCAAAAGCAATGTGCGACATATGCGATCAGAGAGCCCACCCGGTGAGCGAATGCAAAAACATGTGTGTGTGTGCGAAGGCAAAGCAAAAGCAAAACCAAGCGACAGCAAACACAAGCAAAAGCAAAGGCAACTACGACGATGAGGAGAAGGAGGAGGACGGCGTTTACCGTTACTACTAATGCTGCTTTCCTAGGGGCTCCAACTACTAGGTAGGGTCGCACTGGGGTAATTTTTGGCTCTGCCCCCACCGATTCCAGACTTCTCCGCCTGTCATCATTGGCATCATTGTACTTATCATCTATTCATCGGCACCGTCTTCATCATCGTCTCTTCAGCGTCCTCACCATCATCGTCATCATCCCATTTCGAATCGCCGTCATCACCGTCGTCATCGCCATGGTTATTGTCATCACCATCGTCTCCATCGTTTCATCAATTTGGTGCCCTGCAGGATGCTTTCGGTCCGCGCGAATAGGGTCCACGCACCCGCGCGCCTGTGGAGTTTATGGCAGTATGGGTCAAGTTGTGGGTGGGAGAGTGGGATTTTTGGACGAGCGTTGGAGTTGACGATTTCAGGATATTCAAAGTCAATTCCCTTCTCAAAAGAGCAAGCGGATCCCTCCCCCTCCAGAGCTCGGACCTATGGCCCCACCTGGGACCCTGCAATGTACACGTGATTTTGCCTTATCGTCATTTCTCTATTGCAAATCGAACCATCCCAGCCAGGCCCGTATCGCCCCCTCCCCCCCCCCTCCCCCTCATCTCTGCCGG